TATGAGCAGTCTTGGCTCCCTTGGGAATAGAAGGCAGGGTCTCAAATCTATGTGCCCACCTCGTATCATGAAGCAGCTATGACTCTTGGTGGCATTTGACCTGGCACACATACATCCAGAGACCTCTGGGCCCTGGAAGGTCACCTGATAGTAACATACTTGTACAGAATAGCTGCCTTGGCAATGGGAAGACTTTGCTTCTCTGGTATTTGAAAGGATGCGCTAGGTCAGGGGTAGCTGGTTATAAGAGTGCAGAGGTGGAGGTGCCACTAACTTCAGGGATTTCACCCAAGAGCAATCTTTACCACATGGTTTCGGGGGCTAGACAGTAGAGGGGTAGTAAATGCTTTGTTACTCCAAGACTATTCAGGTACCTGGACTTCATGCCTCCTTCCTATTGCTCACTGGACTCCCTTAGGAAAGGGTCTAAAAGAAAGTAAAATTCATATCAGGTGTTAGTGACTTCTGTTAAACTTTCATGGCGGGCATATGACAAGCACAAATGAATATGTGGGAGTTTTGCTGCTCTCCTTGTGAAGAAGAAGTGTTTAAAATTTTAACTCCATGCTGTCTCTGATCCCGCATGACAGTCGACATCATTGGAGATGTCCGCATTTATTGTGTGTGTTTGGTTTGGAGAAGATACTTCATCCTGCTTCCTTCTCTTTCAGGTTTTAAGTGCCCCATTTGCTCCAAGTCCGTGGCTTCCGACGAGATGGAAATGCACTTTATAATGTGTCTGAGCAAACCACGCCTCTCCTACAATGGTAAGGGCTCCACCTGACTCACCTAGAGTGTCAGCCGGTGGGGGGTGGGGGTGGGGAGTTCCAGATGGTTCTTTGGGGAGCTTTTGATGAGGGTCTCCCCAACGCCACCTGGCTTTGTGCAGCATTTCCACCCTGCTTTCAGTAGAGATGCTTCAGTGGTAATAAGGAACCAGACTGTGTTAGGAGACTTTGTTGTGGAAGCGAGAGTAGACGAGGAGAGTGAGGACGGGACGGGCAGCACATTGTCAGGTTGAAGAGGCAACAATTCTCAGGTTGCTCACTTTCTGCACTTTTGAGTTCCCTGGACCAGTGCTTTACCCATTCCCACACCTGCTTGCTGTTGACTCTGAGACAGCTGCACTCTCCTAGAGTTACTTGTGTGCAGCTGAGGGACCCCAGAGGGAGTAGCCTACCCTTGGGGAAGGGTCGTCTGTTGATGTGTGCATGGATTACCAGAAGCTGATGGTTCTTCTTGAGGCTTATGAAGCCTGATTAAGTTCTGTGAACATTGTGTAAATACTGGCGCACCCTTTAACAATGGAAAATGCTGGCATGCTTCCTAATAGGATATGAGCTAGTGTCAGTGCCGTGCTGTGTCCTACCTGGGAGGCTGTCTCAGAAGCAGGCAGTGAATAATAGGGGAGAATCATGGATCCAGAGGAGTCTGTGAATCCCAAGTCAAACTAGCATTGCGCCCTTTATGCACAAAATGAGGGTAAACATCTGCTGGGTGTGGTAGGGGCGATGAGGATTCAGAGTTAAACCGATGCGAGTTCACATCCTGCCTCTACCACATACTGTCTGTGTAATCTTGGATAAGTTGCTTAGTTTAGCATAACCTCAGTTTTCTGGTCCATGTAGCCATTTTATAGCCGTTCTAACAACGATGTCAGAATTGATGAGCTACTACCCACACAACAGAACACACAAAAAGTAACTCCAGAGCGTGGCACCTAGGTGTCACAGCCGCCATGAAAGGAACAAGGCCTTCCATACGTATCCCTTCATCCCCCGTCACAGTGGGCCGATGTCTCCTGGTCATCACACCACATTCATTGGAGAGCTGTGCCTTCCACCATAATAGGTCCTGAGTCTGAGGTAGGGACACTCTCCAGCTCCAGCCCGGACTCACCTTCTCGGACTAACATCACAGCAGTGATCAGGAAGGGTGTTGTCATGTCTGGTGTCTGAGGACTATTCTCAAGGGCTGACTGGACGATTCCACCTCATACTTATTCTGGAAGTTTCTGGGTAAACCCTTCTCACTAGCCCATCTATGTGTGGACTCCTATGCTATCATCCTCCTCAGACCCCGACATGCTCCTTTTACCCACACGAGCACCAGCCTTGGGAGGGCCCGTGGTGTAAGGGAGAGAGTATCACTTCCCAGAATGCTTGGGAAGTGGGCTAGAGGAACCTGATCCACTTGGTTCTCCTGAAAGCACATGTACTCTTCTCTTATAGAACTTGTTGGGTCCAGAAGTTCTGGATACGGCTGCACTGTGCTTCCCACTTGTCCCACTATAGGCGGTCTGTTAACCTTTACTGAGGGTGGAGACCAGCTGGAGGTGAGGTTGCAGCCCTGTCTCTGCCCTCACCCGATCTTTTCCCTTTATAGTCTTCTTAATGTCAGAGAAGCATGTTCTTTTCTCCAGGGGACAAGGAAAGGCTTGTCCCCTGGGGACTAGTTGACACCCTGTCTCTGACTCTTGTCACGTGTGCCCGGCCCTTCCTGTCAGACTTGTGTGTGTGCGTTCCATGGAGCTTCCTCAAGCTCAGCTTTGTTCCTGTTCCCCATCTCTGCTTGGGACCACAAAGGGCAAGGAGTCCTCTCATGTGTCACACAACCCTCCCCAGGCATGGCCTCACAGACTGTATTCACATATTTACCCACATGTGTGGAGACCTCATGAAGACCTCTTTTTGTCCTGTGAGCTGTTGGAGGGAGTTCTGTGTGGACACTCTGTGAAAACACAAAGATGCCTCAGAGTAGCTACTGAAGTCATCAGAGAGAACGTTGGGCAAACAGCTGTGAGTTGGGGGAACACAGTTCTGTTGGGGCCACCCTGAGTAAGAGGGCCCACTTGGAGAACAGGCAAGGTGAACTGCTCATGTTGTCTCAAAGAGTCTCTGTGTCCTCTTCTGGATTAGCCCCTGAGCGTCTGAGCTTCCCAGTGCATGCCCTCCCTTCCCAGCAGCTGTGGGGCAGGTTCTGTGTTCCTTTCCCCCTGGTCTACATAGGAGAGCAGACCTGGCTGCCCAGCCTGAGCACAAAAGAACCACAGAAACGATGCCCCCTCAGAGGAAGAGAGATTGGCTGACCCCGTTTTTCCCTCATCTTGGACTGTAAACAGGTTGGCAGTTCAAACCTACCAGCTGCTCCTTGGACACCCTATATAGGGTCACTATGAGTTGGAACCATCTCGATGGCACTTAAAAACACTAACTCTAACTAAAAAGCCACCTCTTCCAGGTGTGTCCAGGACTGGAAATGAGAGGCTTTTAAACTGAAGGATGTCTTTTACAAAAGTCGGTCTTTTAGCACCAGAGGTACAGTTAAATCCAGTGGTATTATCGGTGGAGTTTGCCTTAAAATGAAGAAGGTACTTCAGAAACAATGGTCTGATTCCTCTATGGGTCCTCCTAAGGCTAAAAAGAGACCTTCGTGGCATGAAGTACTCATCTCCAGACACTGGAATTTTCTGGAGACACCCAGATTTTCAGAGAGGAGGAAGGTGTTTCAGCCGCTGGGATTTGAAAGCATGGTGGGGTACAGGTCTCCAGGGCACAACTACAGGTGCAGGGCCGCTTCTGGTTCCCTCTTGGAACTAAACAGTCCTTTCCTGTAAACACTAGAGACCAGGGCTTCACCAGGAGGCTCAGTTCCCCCTCCCCCCTCCTCCAGGGGCCAAAGTCCCCAAGTCAGCAGATGTGGATGTTTATTTTGGTCTGCCAGTTCCATGATCTCTCATCAGCTCAGCTTCTATTAAAAAGAAAAATTATGATGAGACAGAATCTGTGAGTGTAGAGCTTTTGGGATCTTTCTGGAAAGAAGGGGCAAAATGAGGCTTTCTTAATGGGGAAGAGAGGGAGAGATTTTCTGTTTCCACATAAAAATCTACTAGACCTCCTGGACACCCATCTGGAGATTTTCCATCTTGAGATTCACAGAGACACACAAACTATGGACACAGATACACATACATAAACCATGCACAGATACATACGCATGCATGTGTGTGCATGAAAACCGTGCACACACACACATTCAAACCATACACATATATACATACGTGTACACACATACACAAACTGTGTGAGCACATAAAAATGATAGACACAGGTACACAGACTCATATAATTCATGTACACACACATATACTTTCTGCAATTTCTGGCACCAATTGGGGGAAGTTTTAGAAAATGTATGGTGGTTACATAAGATGAAATTTCGTTAACCACTAAAGGGAAAAGTGGAACCCTGGTCAATGAGACAGATAGAAAGTAGTGTTCTTCTTATTATGAGGGTTGGCCTGAGCACTGCCTTGGAAGGCCTCCAGTAGTCTCCTGCCAGATAAAAAAGCCAAAACAAAACAAGACAAGACTAGTCTAACTGGTCACCCTGGTGCACAGGAAAAATGTGCAAACTAGTCCCTGGTGCCACCCGGGCAGGTGCCTAACCAACACACTGTGGCCACACTGAGCCATCCAGGTGGGTCAGGGACCAGGCCCCTGCACAGCACCAACTGTTTCCCGAGCCCTTGTTGCCAGCAGCTGTGGACCTGGACACAGTGATGAGGGTGGGTCTTTTGCTTTCTCTCCCTTCCCCACCTCCATTTATGGAGCTGAGATGTTGCCCGGGCACCCACCAGGAGCACTCAGATTGTTCTGTATGCAGAACCAATCTCAGGATTGGGGGGTGGGGGTGGGTTCTGACTGCTCTGAGCAAGGGAGAATCCTGATAGCATGGGATGTGGATTCAAGACCTGCCAGGCTCCCCAGCCCCAGCAGTGTATGGCTGTGGCCACTTCCTCTTCAGCAGTGTCAAGAGGGCTGGCTTCAGGAGATAGTGTCCCCCCTCACGCCTGACAGTCAGAATACTGTCAGAACCCCTTCTTCTTGCTAAAGGTCACATCTAAAGGGCTTTTGAATGGATCGTTGTCACACAGCTTTGTTGGAGGGTCCTGCCTACAGTTTACCCTGAGCAACTGCTTGTTGCTTTGACCTGTTGTGTCTCTTGCTGTCTGGGACAGTGTGGTCAGCTGGAAGTGTGGTGTTTCACACCTGGGGATGCTGTTGTGGGCTGTGGAGTCTGTGGGCCCTGCTGCTGGTGGGTGAGGGCCAAAGCTCCTGAGGAGTCAGGTGCCTGCAGAGGTATACCCAGGAGGGAGGGAAAGAGGGCAAGCTGGAAGCGGCGGGCTCACCCAGATTGACCGAGTAAGTGAGGAGTGGGAGGGAGGAAGCCGTCAGGCCTCCGCTGCCAGCCCTGTATCTGTTCACCCTCTGGGCTCTCTAACTCACCTGATGAGTCAGTGGGTTGCGCCTCACAGTCATGGGCTATTGGGGTAGGCATGCTGATGTGTGGGAGCTCTTTTCAGCCAAGGTCTCGTAATGACTGAAAAACAGAGCCCACCACTTTTCCCAAGAAGGATGCCAGCCAGACCTGGCCCAGATGACAATGCCCCTCCCTGCCCTGAGGAGACTGGGCAGTGACTGTGTCAGCCGAAGGCCAGGAAGGTGCGCCCAGGCTGGAAATGAGGCCAGTGGAGGCACCTAAGTCCTGATGTTAGCTGCCAGGGTGGGCCCTCTGCTCCAACCTTTTTTCCCACATGGCCTTACCTGCCACCAGGTCTTGCGGGGGCCAGTGACGACCGTCAGCTTTCCCTCCAGCCATCAGGAATGTGGCTGCTTGGGCCTCCCCCCACCATGCTGCCAGCAGCTCCTGCCCCTTGGGGCGGTTTTTACCAGAGCTGTCCACAGGGCACAAAGCTCCAGTATGG